AATTGTGCCTTTCCATCTGTGATTATTGGGATCTTCTGGGAGCCAGATTTTAAAAATCAAATCACTGAGCTATGTCTGAGTGGAATCAATGTAACTGTTTTTCTACTAAACCAGAGGGTTTTTGTGTGTATGTCTCCAAATCTGCTCTTTCTTTCCCAGTCTAATGCATTCATGTATCTGGCAATATTTTGTTGATTATTATTTTTCATAGCCATAGCAGTGTGAGGGCCTAACTGCACTTTATATTAATACTATGGCATGCAGCTATGTCCCTCGATTTTGAAGACATAGTCATAGGCAAGCGGGGAGGTGATTTCCTCAGGACCTCAGTGTGTATGGAGGTTTAACCCTTTCCAGCTGCAATCCTGATTAAAAAACCCCTTGCTGCAATTAGCAATTCTACTTTACCAATGTTATTCTATTGCTAATTGCAGTGGGGAGATGGATTTTCATCAGGCTTGCAGCTGGGGATGAAAGGGTTAAATCCCCCCTCTCCAGACACTGCGATTCCAATGGAAATCTATCACAAACAGCCTGTAAAAACAAATTCTCTAACATTGCTGCAAATAATTGAGTATGCAGTTATGCCCTCAGAATTGGGAAGTTCCCATTGCCATAGGTTCTTCCACACAGAGAAAAGCAGTTGCTACAGGGAGCAGATTATGATAACTGACATCATGTAAACAGGAGACCTGTGTATGTCTGAAGAAGGAGATCACTCTTAAATTCTGCCATTCTGCCATTGCCTTATGTATTTTCTGGATGGGGAAACATGTGACCCTCCATGTGTTGTTGGACTCCAACTCTCATCAGCCCCAGTGAGTTTGGCCAGTGGTCAGAGATGACTGGAGTCCAACAACATCTGAAGGACCACAGGTTCCCAACCCGTCATATAGAAAATAGAGGTGAGGTGAAACCCTAATGAGAAAGATAAGACTTGGCTCAGTAGCATCCACTTGTTCATGACATTTTGTGCCCTGCCCTTCTCTGGCACTTCCCCAAGCCTCTTCATGGTGAATTCAGTCTTGCTGTAGGGTTTCAGCCAGAACTTTCACCCATCATGTTGTAAATTTTAGCAGCCTAATCTGTTGAACACCTTCTGTTACACAATTCACCATTCATTGCTTATCATCACTGACGACACTGTTTCTTGAATTGTCAGAAAGAGGGTGCTTTAACTCCAAAATAATGTATATATTTTAAAAATGTTGCTACAAAGTGGAATAATATCTTTTGATGACTGTTTTTAAAGCCCTTTAGGTGTTCATGGTAATTTGCAGTGTAAAATTATTTAGAGATAAGAGCCAAATTAGCTCTTAAAGGCGGGAGGTCGATATGTCCCGTTATCCATGCAAGCAGTGTTTAAATATAATCAGCCTTTACTCTAATGCAGCATAATTGTTCATTTGAAATAGCTTTTTTTATTCCATTCAATGAGTCATTAAAATATTCAAAAGATAATGCAGTGAATTAGAAATAAATTTATCACATTATCCTGCATATACTGAAGAGTATCAGGTAACTAGGCAGAGACTGAACTGGTATACATAGAGATCCAGTAAATAATGCACTGTTGTTTTAAAAATCAGTAGGTAGAATAAAAGTGTAAAGAGAGGACAAATTGTGTCCTCAAATTCTGTTTTGCTTCCTACCCAGTCACTGGGAATAAGGGTGAGAATGACAGTAAATCTGCAAACCTTTGCTATTCTCATTTTAATATTTATTAGAATAGTACTTTGTAGTTAAAAATGATTATAAAAAACAACTCTGTCAGAGGAGAATTCCTAGATAATTCCTTCTTGTGATATAGTGAAAGGGGGAGGGGAAAAGAACACTCTAACTGTGATTATCAGCTGAATGCAATAAACTATTTGCTCTAACAACAGAATTTGATGTCTGGGAAAACTGACTACACAGACTTACCGATCTGCCCTGCTACCTGGCCTACGCCAGGGCCTGGACTTCCATCAAGCATAAATGTGGGCAGTTGGGAACAGAACCCAGTCAATTTCATTCCTCATTTCTAACCACAGGGTCACATTTCGTCTCTCCCATCTTACTTTTGCTCAGTGACAAAAGAGAGTCTTCTGGAGATTTGGTCCCCATATTCTTCTACAGAAATGGCTGGGTATGCTTCTCACCCACATGGAAGGCTGTACACACAAGAGCTGGCTGGTGGTACCACACGGATCTATGTTTACTTCTGCTATTGCTGAGTTGAAGCACTATTTTCACTGCAGGATATTTCTTTGACACATATAGTGTGGGAATGGGGTCCCAACTGTGCCCATCCTGGGGCACAGGCAAGCCGCCCTCTCTCTTAGCGCTCCAGGTGTTCTCATTAAGGAGGCTTTGATGCCTGAAGGTGAAGCAGCAGGGACGGTAAAGGAAACAATCTGTTCAGCGAGGAACATGGTACAAAGACAGCTGTTCCTTCTGTGCAGTACGGTAGCAGTGTGAAACGCATGCCCCAGTAGGATGTTAGGCTAGCAAGCTGCTTCTGTGACATGAAGAGTATGGCTGTTTTCATCAGCAATGATCTCTTAATCCTCTTTGTGTATATGTTTCTGTCTTGGACATGTGTGAAGTTGTGCAGAGGGAGGGACAAATTACAGCACCCCTCTGTGAAAGGACCAGGCCTCTCCATTAAAGGGGCACTCATCCCTTGAGGATTTTGCAAGCAGTTTCTTTCTTATTGTTGCTTGACTTTGTCAGTGAATTTCCTCTCACTGGCTGATGAATAGGTTCTGGGTGGCAAGTGTCACCATAGAAACAAGTGCTAACTTAAGCAAACAAGAGCTTTATTAACATTAAGAGTAGTAGAGTATTTCAGAAATTATTGGAACTGAGTTATAAGTTTGCTGGAGGGGGAATTCAGCTAGACCTTCTGCTTTTTGGGGTGGGGAGTGAGAGAGAAGGAAGGGGGGTGCTTGTATGCGTACTGGGTTATCTCCTGAAGTGCTGCATGGGGTTCTTACATTAATCTTCTTTCCAGACTACCTGGTTAGTGGACATTTCCACGTGTGATTTGTGCTGCCCTTGTTCGTTGATTCCTGCACTGGCAGTCAATGTGATGGAGGCTTTTGCTGACCATAGCATTAGAGATTATCAGTGTGAATCACCAGTCAGCTGGTTCCCTCTCCCTATAGCATGCAATCTCCTTGTGTGTTGGTATTCTGGGGTGTCATTTGCACATTCTACCTGCCAGAGCTCTGCCATTGCGAGGCCAAAACACATAGTCAGAAATAAGGTCAGGGTTATTTCAGTTATCAGGTGTCTCATACAAGGAGTATTAAAAATCTTCAATTGCTCAGCGCTTGCTTCATCACACCCTAAAAGTATATTAATGCAGAATGCTTTATGTAGTAATCTGATGCACACTTAACCCGGAATAGGTACCGTGGAACATGGTGGTAGAGAGGCAGCAACATTTGAGAGCCTCCCAGATCAGATGCTTTCTGCCCCACTACACTCTGGCTACTCCACCCCTCCCTCTGTGGTCACTGTATCTTAAATGCACAAAGTCTCCAAGGGTCGTTTGCTTGTTCTAATCCTTCATGCTTCTGGAGAGGTTCCAGAGAAGTGCAACAGCACAGGGCATCATGTTGCCCTGAAGACACTTATTGGGAGGAAGGATGTGCTTTAAAAGTATGGTGTGAATGTGACCTACTTCATCTGCACTCTACTGAGACAACTACAGTGTTCAACAAGAGCAGGAAACAAGGAAATATCATGTCAGACTGATTTTTTTTCTTATATTCCTGTTTTGCTTTTCCATTTAAAAATAGCCAAGTGGCTAGCAAAATTAATATACTACAAACTATAGAATTAAAACAGAATATTTATTTTAAAATTGTTAAGAATTTGCAAGAACTCTCAGTAACAATACCATTAAAGTATCAATCAATTAAAGGGCATCCTAAAAGCATACAGAATAACACATGCCATAACTACATTCTGAAAGGCGAGTGAGATGGAGCCAAGCAACTCTGCTTCATAAGGGAATTCTGTAGTCTAGGCACCACAACAGAAAATACTGTTTCTTTTATTCACCTATTATACATCTAATAATCTAATGAAATCTAGTAAAATCTAATAAAAGAGGTCAGCAGCATAATTTCCAATGATGAGCTCCATATTCAGACAGGTTTGAACAGAATAAGGCAGTTCTTGATGCGTGTTAACTTTAAAAGCCCTATGTTTGTTAAGAAACTGAAGAGATACTTCTCTATATCTTCTTAAACCCAGAAAGTAGAGACCCCCTACTTTCCCTTCTTCACCAGTCCTCTTTTCTCCCCTTCTTCTGGAAGCCCTTTAGAAAATTTAACCAGATTCATGAAGCCAATGGGAAGACGGAGTCCCTGACAGAGTCTGGTATTTGTAATCAATCATGTAGTCCTAATTTCACCGGGAAGCACAAGTGGTTTGGGCAAACAAGGTATACGGAGTGCAGAAAGGGGAAAAGGCAAAAGTCAGGCACTTGCCCCCCTCTTGATGTCTTCTACAACTATATAGTCCTCAAGGCAAGGATATTTGTTTTCTAGGTTTAATTTTCCTTGTTGGTATCAGAGGAAAACTATTTTTTCACTGAAAATGGTGCTATTTAATGACATCTAGATAAATGTGGTGGTGGGGAGAATTCTCCAGAGTAAGGAAACAAATCTCAGCTTTGGTGCTGCTGCCTCGGAGCTCCATGTGTGAGGGTGGCAGAGACCAGCCCTGAGGGCACATACTTGCTGCAACAAGTTTCTGTGTTTAACACGTTTTCCATGAATTGTATTGGAAGTTGAGTGTCAACTGTTATTATTCATGCCCTGCAAACAGATGGGGTTTAATTGCTGTTACTGTCAGCCTAGCTGTAAATATCACAGGGGAAAAAAGAGCTCTTTGGCTAATTGTTTTAAAATAAAAGTTGAGAAAGTATGTATATAAATTATAGATCAAGTGTATTTTAAAAATCAAACTGTTTATATTGCCTTTAAATACAGTATTTAGTCAACAGCATTAGGATCAGTGAATGGCTGAGAGATACAATGCCGCCCTACAGCCTAAGATGCCAGAACAATATGACAGCAGTAACTTATTACTGATGAAGGAGGTGGGGGAACCAACATGAAAATGTGATTGGTCAGCACACTAGAAGAATAGAACAGCTAATCTTTGTAATTTCATGGGCACCATTAAGGCAAAGTGCTGCTTTTATATAGCTTTGAGGAGAACAAGGTACCATACCTAGGTTTGCAAAGAGGTTGAGCGTTGACACATGCATGCTAGATTTAGGGGAGGGGGTGTGGCATTCCTTTTAGTCCTCCAGAAAGTTAATGACAAAAGGTGGGGGTGCAGGGCAGGCCATAAATATATATGAGGGAAAGGTGAGTTGAGCGTGTGTGTGTGTGTGTGCAGGTGCACACCTAAATACATAAAAGTACTGGTTTGTGGGGCTTTATTGTCATTACTGTACAATTCCTACTGCATGTTTCAGAGCAATTTCTTAAATCCCCCCTTGGCTGTGCTGCTTTTCAGACACCCACCTTCACCTGGGGGAAGTGTTAATGCATCATGGTCTGAGGCAGAGCTACATTATCACCTCATATTCTTCAAGTTTGGGAATGGGGTGAAGGGGTGGGAGAGAGGGATTATAATCAGCTTTTATACCCTGTGTCCCACTAGGGCTGAGGGCCCTGCTTGTATCACACAATATGGATAGATCTTTAGTCAGTCCATTCAATTAATGAAGGATGCTCACACTATTTTACATGACAGAACTGGTACACTTTTAAGAAGTTAATTGCTTGTGTGACCCAGTGGGCAGTGTGAGCAAGGATGTTCATAAATCTCAGCCATGGCAACTTTGGCAACCTGGCAGTGAAAAACCCATCTCATGCTTTGGAGATTGCAAAAGGTGAGGTGACGAAGGTTTGTGAACTCTCAAATCATGTTACATTATTCAGATAAGCATTTTTTAAAGGCCCTATTAAAGGGTCAACACACACACATCTTATCACAGCTTCAGTATACCAATGATTTAAAAATGACGGTATTTAACAATCACAGTTTGTCTTAAGGAACAGGACAACATTCATAGCTTGACACCTGCTTGGTAATAACTTTATTGGTCCCCTCAATACACTTTTCAAATTGAGTTCCCAGAGCAGCTGTCGACATTCAGAACCACACACAAAATGTTCCACTCTTGGAGAATGTTTATTCTTTCTGAAAAAGCAATGGGACACCCCCCCAAAAAACCCACAAGAGATAAGCTACTGAATGGAACTGGTGAAAAGGGTGGCAGGTAAGCACTGTGGTGTCCAGAAAGTAGTTTCATAGATTTGGAAGGGACCCTGAGGATCATCTAGTTCAATGCTTGCAATGCAGGAATATGAAGCTGCCCCATACAAGGATGGAACTTGCAACCTTGGCATTATCAGCACCACACTCCAACCATTTGTATCCTTGCAAATACTTCTCACCACTGAGGCCACAGGAACTCTCCGATAAGTGCCTGTGGCACTATTACAGGGTCACAGTAGTAGCATATGGTTCTACTGAGTAGTCCTAGTTTCACTCCTGGGCGAGTGATTCAGCTTTTTCAAGGTAACACAAGAGCAACATGAAAAATGGACTGACCAAATTTCAACAGAAAGGAAAAAGAATGAGTGTATTGCTGGCCGCTAGAGGAGAACAAGAGTACTTTCATTTCTATAAAAACATACTGTTTCTTCAAACCCTTAGAATCAGTTTGTATATATATCTTTGGAGAATCTGTTGCTGCTATCCACAGATTCTGATAAATGTTTGGTTTATTTCCTGAATTATAGATGTTGCTATCTGGGCACTGCATTGCTCCAAATGAACTATGGTTCAAGACTTTTGGTACATCATGGGCTTCCTGCTCCTCACACTTGCGCTGCTATGAACAATATATTCAAACTGATGAGTAACTAGAGATGCCGATGGCTCATTCCTGTCCCCAATTTAACAAGAGCATAGAATTAACACAATATTTACTGCAAAGCCCAGGCACTCTGTTTGTTTCTGTAAAAGGGCCAAGCCTCTGTTTGAGCTCCCACTAAGGTGTATTCTTTCCTGAATTGTAATTAATGCTTGCAGGTAATTACAATCTAAAGCACAACTGCTTAACAATTCCCCTTCCCAAAGAAAACTAATTTTAATGCCAAGAGGAAAAGTAATATTTTAGCATAAAACAAATGTCAGAGGATGAGGCTAGCAAAGGTCATCATAATTTCTTCATAATTTCTTTAGTTAGCTAAACTGGCCTATCTTTGGTGAATCTGGATGATCATCAATAAACTGAAACCCACTGCTTCAGACAACTCTGGAAGGTGGATTGGGCTTACCTGCTTCATCTCTCTCACTCTGCCCACCCTTGGGATTTGAACCTGGGTGAGAAGAAACAAGGTTACCTTTTGTTGGGCTGAAGTATGGCTGGTGCATTTACACCCATACCCTCTCAAACAGTTTACTCCAGTGGCAATTTCAGAAGTAAATTATGTAACTTCTGTTCCTGTCTGCAGCATCATGTTAGCGTAGAGAGTAATAACAGTTCACAGCCAGTACAAAAATTAGTCGCCAGCTACATTCTACTCAGAGTTGATCCATTGAAATTAACGGACCCAGGTGAGTCATATCTATTAATTTCAGTGGGCCTACTTTGAGTGTGACTAATGTTGGATACAACCCAAAAGTAGTTTACTGCTGGGACTACTGCCCTTTGAGAGCACAAGTGCAAATGCACCTCTTATTTCATGAGAAAAAGCTGTAGGATCTTTGTGTGTTTAACACAAAAGTACCTTTCTTAGGCCTACAAGTTATTTACAAGCAATATCTAGATAAAGAAGAAAGAGCTTTGAACTGTTTTCATTACTCGTATGATAAAATTAATCAAAATGATGCAAAAATGGGCACATTTCCACATTTTCCCTGAATTTATATAATTAATGTTATAACATTCAGCTTTATATAATTCAGAATTTGAATTACCTTGGCATAGAAATTTATTTATTTATTTATGGCTCTTCTACAGATGAAATAATTTTCCTCAAATAAGAGCTGTTAGCCTACAGTATTTCTAACAATTTCATATACAATTCCATTTCAACCTCAAATGAAAATGATGTGGGTGCCTCCCAGCTTGCCCAGGGTCCAAATGCTATTACTTTGTGCCTGTTGCCAGTTAATGCCTTGGAAGAAATTTCAACACAGGCAGCCATTGACTTGTTAACATTTGTTTTTCGGTGCTGTGACAAAGATTACCCACCCCCCTCAGTAGGCAACTGCAAAGGTTGCTCTGAGGATGATAGTGAATCAGTTCTCTCTGCCTTCATTTTCACAGCAGGTACCTACTTTATGGAGATTGAATTTAGGGTTTTTCCAGGATGCTTCTATTTCATTTAGCATGCAAAGGCTAATAATTTGTCTCAATTCAATAAAACAGAGGTTGCAAACACTCTCTCTGCTTATTTAAAGGATGGCTTTGTAATTAGTTTCTTTCAACAAGGGGGGAGGGGAACAGATAAAATATACCAAAATGGCAGTGCAGCATTTTTGCAAAGGTGTTCTTTGGGCCGGCGTATTTTGTGCCTGTCAGTCCTGAAATCTAGTGAGCAATTTGAACAGGTTGAATAGCTGGGATCTGCCCTGATGTCTCTCAGGCTTTATTTCAGACCCTGCCCCTCCAGCCCCGATGGAAATCCCAGCTGACTTGTTCCTACATCAGAGGCATCGGTCGCATAAAAGCGTGTTGTCCCATTCAAGTGCATGCGGTTCTTGACATGCTAATAATGAAGAAAATAAGTGGGAAAATCTGCCCATGTCCCTCTTCCACTTCAGGCCTGCTGTTTTATGGAAAGTTTGTTTAACCTTTTCAAATGTTAAATGCACCCTACAGCAAGGTGGTATTTTATTTTTATTATATTATTTCTATCTAATTCATAAAATCTGTGTACTGCTTGATGATAAAAGAAACCTGTAAGCAGTTTGCAAAAAAGGATAAAACAATAAAAGTATCAATAAAAACAGTAAAAAGCAGCTATTTAAAACATTCAAAAATAATAAAAACAATTATAAGCAAAAAAACAATTAAAACCACATATCATTCCACATATCTGGGTAGGCATGTTTAAACAAAGCTTATCTTCTAGCAGGCACCAAAAAGAGTACAGTGGTACCTCAGGTTACATACGCTTCAGGTTATATACGCTTCAGGTTACACACTCCACTAAGCCAGAAATAGTACCTCGGGTTAAGAACTTTGCTTCAGGATGAGAACAGAAATTTTGCTCCGGTGGCAGCAGGAGGCCCTATTAGCTAAAGTGGTGCTTCAGGTTAAGAACAGTTTCAGGTTAAGAACGGACCTCTGGAACGAATTAAGTTCTTAACCCGAGGTACCACTGTACAGCGAAAATAACTGCCTGATGCCATTAAGCAGGGAGTTCCAGATTTCTTGCAAATGCAGAGTGAGGATTCATGGCAGTGCCAACTGAATATGGTCAAATGTGCATCAGTGGGCAAATCATTACGCCCTAATGCAGTCCATTATTGACTAGTGTGGGACTGGGGAGACCCAGGTTCAGGACTGCCGCTGAACCAGCTATCATTTCTCAGACTAATCTACCTCTGGTGTTCTGATGATAAAATGGGGAGGGGGTCTCTTGTACACTGCCAAGCTCCCCGGAGACTGAACTATGTAAAATATAAATGTAATTATATGGGAATGCCAGCAGATCAGATACAGGACAAGTACAGGCCGGGTGTGACCAGGCCAGATTCTATCTTGGCTAACTACAAGTTTGTCTTGTAATTTCTCATAAAGCCTCTATTATATATTGTATACCTATAAGCCGTCAGCCGTAATATTGCGCCAGAGACAGGACTCTAATCCCCCCCCCCATTTATATCCCTTTTGCCACTTGGCTGTGTTGCTCAATCTACCATTTGATGAATAAGGAACAGTTCATTTTTTGGGCTGTTGTTCATTGATCCTATTGCTGTTCTGATGAACTATGCCAGTGTGTGCCTGTTTCCTTTCCTCTCATCTCATCGGTGCTTGTCCTGCTCACCCCTTTCATCATCCCCTTTCTCTGTTGGAGCACATTTGTACAACAGCTGTCCACACTCCCGGTTGGCTGCTGCGGCGTTGAGTCAGAAGCAGGGAGAGGGGCCTTGGAAAAAGCAGACCCCTCGTTTTGTAACCGTCTCAAATTTCAAAACCAGGAATTCAACTGTACAAGCTGCAGAGCTAGTGTGACTGTGCTCTGTGTTTGCAGCCTGTGGAGATCAGATGCCCCAAAGAGCCCTAAACCGTATGCGGTATATCTCATATGATATCAGAGGTGAAAGATGCTACAAATCTCCTGTGACATTTATTGTTAAATATCTTAAAAATGAGGGGCAGTCTACATATTCAGTCCCATGTGTGTTCTTTGGGGATGCCGGAAAGAGGCCTAATTGTTAATCTTACACTCAGTGGGACTCAGCCCTGCAGTTTTGTAAAATTTATACATCAGGAAGAAAGCTGACAGAACATTGCTACATTGTAAGTTGCAAGATCAGGGCAGGTTTGCTGGTCTCGGAGCTGCTCTGAACAAGCAGCCTTAACCGGTTTCTCCTGTCAAAAGCACAGTGTGAGCACAGGTGCCTTGGCTTCAAGCCAGTTTGAAATTGAGTTCACTTGAACCTCAAAAACATGAAGCAGCAACAGGGAGGCTGGAACTCCTGACATTACACCAGGGATGAGGGGAACTGATTAGAGTGGGAGTTAATCGTTTGCTCATTCTTGGAGCAGTAATTCATACAGGAGCCCTTTGGGTGATATCAGCAGGTCCTAGCGTCAAAATTCAAAAGTGGGGCTTTCCTGCATTAGAATTGCAGAGCTGTAGAGTTGGAAGGGATCCTGAGGATCATCTAGTCCAACCCCTGCAATGCAGAAATATGCGGCTGTCCCACACAGGGGTCAGAATAAGCCCCTCTTGGGTCTGAAGATCTGAAAAAATATATTTTCAGATTTCCACCTGTTCACATACTACGAGAACAAATAACCATGAATCAACATTATAGCGCAATGCAAATACCGTAGTTGCTTACATATGGGAGGGCTTAAATGTACTACTACTTGCACAAGTTAGCAAACATAATCAGGTGTAGCATGTATAGGAAGAGTCCTATGCGCAACTAATTGTGTATATGACACTCCTGCCTTAATCTCATTCAGATCTTGACACTGCCTAGGCTGGTTTTTTATGAATATTTCTGCTTTGCTTTACAGATGGGGAAAGTTGTCTCAGATTACACACTAAATTGCACCACTAAGGCTGCACCATATTACCACCACCCAGTGCAGTTTATATTTAGAGCTGAGAATACTTTCCTAACAATTTTGTGCCAAAGAAACAAACCTTATGTAGGGATAGGGAGTTGAAGAATGTCAGCGTAGTCAGTGGCGGAGCTTCATGCTCCTGCACTGGGGGGGGGGGGTGGATGGAGAGCAGGCGGGGCTGGCGCATGTCCTGGGGGCGTGGTGTGCTGCCTGTAGGGGCGTGGTGCCCAGCGCCGGGGGGGGCAGCCGCGATGGCACCCTGCTGGGATCGCGCTGCCGGGGGTGGTGCGCTCCCCCCGAACACCTCTTCCTCTGCCAGTGAGCATAGTACGAGGTGTGGATTAGTTTGCATAATTCTTAAAACAGCATTTGAGTTTCAGTTTAATTTTTTTTATTTACTATATTCATAGCCCTCTTTTCTAGTGTGTGTGTGTGTATACAGTGGTACCTCGGGTTAAGAACTTAACTCGTTCTGGAGGTCCGTTCTTAACCTGAAACTGTTCTTAACCTGCAGCACCACTTTAGCTAATGGGGCCTCCTGCTGCTGCCACGCCGCCGGAGCACAATTTCTGTTCTCACCCTGAAGCAAAGTTCTTAACCTGAAGCACTATTTCTGGGTTAGCGGAGTCTGTAACCTGAAGCGTATGTAACCTGAAGCGTCTGTAACCCGAGGTACCACTGTATTAAACAACAAGGATGCCTATTAAACCAGAACTGTTTTTAAAACAAAAGCATTGAGTGGAATTAGAAACCCTTTAAAATCAAAGGTAGGACAAAACAGTTTTTATAGGCTGCCTAAACCTAAGCAAAGATGTGAGCACCTGACCACCTTAGGGAGGGAGGAGTTACATTACTGGGGAGCTACTCCATAAAAGGCCCTGTCCCAAGCGCCTGCAAACCTGCCCTCTCTTGGTGCTGGGACATAAAACAGTGTTTCTGGTGAAGATGTTGAATTTTTAGGATTGTTTGGGAGGAGGCCTTTCAGATATCCTGGACCTCAAATTGTGCTTAGAGACAAGCTGGAAGCCAGCCCAGTGGATATATGGCTGGTGTAATATGATCCACAACACACATACCAGGCAATAGTTTGGCTGCCACATGTCACATTAGCTGAATTTTCCAAGAGCGGCTGCACATTGAGCGCAGACCCTCCATGCCCCTATTTGCCAGGGACCTCCCTGATTTAAGCCACCCCAGTTTCTGATTTGATCCCAGAATGTCCCATTTTTCCTTAGGATGTCCCTACAGTCATACCTTGGGATGAATACGCTTCAGGTTGAGCGTTTTCGGGTTGCGCTCCGTTGCGACCCGGTAGTAACGGAACGCATTACTTCTGGGTTTTGCTGCTTGTGCATGCGCAGATGCTCAAAATGACGTCATGTGCAGAAGTGGCAAATCGCGACCCGTGCATGCACAGATGCGGGTTGCGTTTGCTTCAGGATGCGAACAGGGCTCCGGAACGGATCCCGTTCGCATCCAGAGGTACCACTGTATTTTCATTGGAGAAATGTTGGATGGTATGGAGTTATCCAACCCCTGAGCCAATACAGGCAATCCTGTATAGGGAAGGGTTTTTTTTAAAAAAAATGTTCAATGTTTTATTATGTTTTTATGTATGTTGGAAGCTGCCCAGAGTGGCTGGGGCAACCCAGCCAGATGGGCGGGGTATAAATAGTAATATTATTATTATTATTATGGAATGAGACATCCCTATTTTCATCAGAGAAATGTTGGAGGGTGCAATGGGCCTTTCCTGGGGTGCCCCCCCATTCATGAAATGCCCAGGGAGGCTCACCTGGCACCTTCATTAAATGTATTTAGGTGCCAGTTCCCAACTGTGGGGTGCATGGGTTATTGTTTTGTTTGTTATTATGCTAAGTATTTTTGTGTTTTTATGCTGTAATCCACCTTGTGATCCTCAGATTAAGGGTGTTATATAAAGTCAATAAATAAACAAAGTACTTCATGGGGTACCATGAAGAGGGTGCATATGAAGGTATGAATCAGTGTTTGAATGGCTAGCAAGAATTGACCCTAGACGGGGTCAGTCTCTGCTTGATGCTACAGAATATCTCAGGCAAATGTACACGGCAAGCTTGAATTGACTTTATCATTGTACAGTGGTAAAAAGGTAAAGGTAAAGGTACCCCTGCCCGTACGGGCCAGTCGTGTCCGACTCTAGGGTTGTGCGCCCATCTCACTTAAGAGGCCGGGGGCCAGCGCTGTCCGGAGACACTTCCGGGTCACGTGGCCAGCGTGACGAAGCTGCTCTGGCGAGCCAGCACCAGCGCAGCACACGGAAACACCATTTACCTTCCCGCTATAAAGCGGTCCCTATTTATCTACTTGCACTTAGGGGTGCTTTTGAACTGCTAGGTGGGCAGGAGCTGGGACCGAAAGATGGGAGCTCACCCCGCCGCGGGGATTCGAACTGCCAACCATGCGATTGGCAAGCCCTAGGCACTGAGGTTTTACCCACAGCGCCACCCGCGTCCCTAAGATTGTACAGTGGTACCTTGGGTTAAGTACTTAATTCGTTCTGAAGGTTCGTTCTTAACCTGAAACTGTTCTTAACCTGAAGCACCACTTTAGCTAAAGGGGCCTCCCGCTGCCGCCGTGCCGCCGGAGCATGATTTCTGTTCTCATCCTGAAGCAAAGTTCTTAACCCGAGGTACTATTTCTGGGTTAGCGGAGTCTGTAACCTGAAGCGTCTGTAACCTGAAGCGTAT